AGTGATCTGGTGCCTCGAAAGTTTTGTGAGCTGTTACTTCTTTTGCTTTTGGGATGCCTGTGGTTCCAATGTAAAACCTCACAAGATAGACACTTCCATGAATTGGCAATCTCTGTCGTGGCATAAATTTCATACATTAACTATCCTCCTTTTTGTACAGAAAAAAAAATGTTGTCTCCTTATCTGCTGCTCTCCCGCTTTTCCACCGTATTTCATACACGCTTCTCAAATTTGAACCAATTATCTTGGACACTGATGGATCCACCAACATGTCTGTGTTCTGTTCTATAGAATCCAAAGTTTCCTATGACTTGCTTTGTCTTCTTATCACTGAAATTGAAGCTCTAAATGTAGATATTTATGCATTGTATTGTCAAGTTGTAGCTCTATAGAAAAATAAGAATATCTTGATTTGACTTTGCAGGGGTGAATAGGCTAATATTATTTGTAATCCGATTATTCATGCCATATTTCTTTTGTTTTTTAACAGTATGCTTTTTTATTGCAATTTTCAATCCTTGACCCTTTGTAATAATCATTTGTGCAGCTTCTGGCAGATATGGTGTAATTGTGATTGTTATAGTGGTTGGATATGGCTGTATATGGTGGAAGGTAAATAATGTGTTTTCGCACAATGTCTGAATCTGAGTATAAAAATCTCCTTTTGTCTTTTTTTTTTTTTTTCCATTTCCCCCTCCGTATCACATAGAGTTTGTCCCATGGTATCTGCATGTACCAAAAGTTGTCCACCCAGGTTAGGGTGTTTGACATTATAATGGCTGTGGTGCTGTTAAGACGTATGATTCCTTGTGTAAAAGCTGAAACTTTCTTAGGCTCTGTTCTATGCAAAAGGGTGACAAGTCGTCACCTGTCGGTATTTGCTAGTAATCAAAAGCCTAATAGGATTTTCTACTAAGGTCTATTCCTCCTCTCCTCTGCTTGTGTATCATTGTGTTTTGGGCAGGGAAGGGGTTGACAGAAGAGTGATGTAGACTACTAAATTATTTTGTGTGCTTGCAGGGTTGGAAACTCTCTGATATGATGTTTGCAACCAGACGCAGTTTGTCTGATGCGTGTTCTAGTGTATCCAAACAACTTGAGAGTGTCTATTCTGCAATTTCTGTAAGTTTTCCATATTGTATCGGTTAGGATAGCTACTTAATTGGGTAGGAGAGTAATTCAAAGACATTCTTCACATAATTACTGCATGAGTTAAAGAGTTATTGAACTGCATTTTGTGTTTGACATTGTTGCAGATATATATATATATATATATATATATATATATATATATTGTTTTGCCCTTCTTTATGGACATATACCGTCAACCTTGGGCCCAATAGAGAGAGAGAGAGAGAGAGAGAGAGAAGGAGAGAGAGAGTTCTGATTTTTTTAGGGGAACTTAAAGGGGGTAGGGGGAAGTGAGGAATTACTGATTAACAGTATTACAGTGACAGAGAAAGTTAATGATAAATGACCTGCTTCTGCTTTGTATTGCAGTTTTGCTCCTCAAGTTGTGTACTCATATAACACTCGTCAGCTACATACATATCATGTTGCTTATATGTTTTCACATAATATATATGGTGATGGTTGTTTGCTTTAAGATTTCATACTGGAAAATAGCTGCAAGAAGTGACTAAAGATGATTATGCCTTTAAGAGTCAACTTTGTGAAAGGAAATAAATATATTTCCATAGGTATTTGGTTTCTCAAGAATCATAATTCTGTCTTCAGTAGGTAAATTAGAATGTAGCTACATGATAATTGATCATGGATTTACAATGTATTTGAGATTGGTTGTGTTGTCCAGGCCACTAAGCGCCATTTGTCTTCGAGAATTGATGGTGTGGATAGTAAAATTGATGAATGTGCGGGTAATACATCTGCCACAAAAGAAGAGGTAGGACGAGTAAAATGTATTTTGGTAAATGCAAAATTGTCTTTTTGCCCTTTTGTTTTCATGAGTTAGTGTTTCCTTCTAATTCATGGACCTTGTACAGGTGTCTAAACTACGAGGGGACCTGAGATTGATGGGTGCCGATGTACAGTCAGTTCACCATGTAGTCCGATCCCTGGTAATCCATGTTATTGAGTTTCATGGAGCTTGCCACATCAGAAGCATTATTGTGTTGGTCTAGTTACTAAATAAAGTACTTCATATGTTGCAGGAAACAAAAATCAGCAAGATAGAAGGGAAACAGGTTTTTTTTCCACTTTTCTTTTCTTTTTGTTCAGTGTATTGTGTTGCTGGGGGTTTTAATGGCTAATAATCATGGTCATGGTTTATCACACGTGTGCAGGGTGAAACACTCTTCGGGGTTGGCAGATTGGTTTCATTTGTGAAGAATCTAGAACATAGCAGAACCTTGGATCCTATTGAGGCAGGAGAAGCATCCCTTTACATCATAAAAGCTTGTCCTTTTTGCAGTGTTTCCTTCCTAAATGCATTTTGTGGGATTTTATAGGGTACATTGCCAAGTTCATCTCGGCCAGCTCTTGAAAAGCAGCAAATAACTCCATCTAGGGTATGATATCTCTGTAAGACATTTGGTTTTTGGTGTTTAGAGGAAACTCATGAACCTATGTCTGCCGTGGTACTACTCATCTTAGAAATTTATGGGTTGAGTACTGGATTAATCCTAGATTGCCTCCATTGTGACATGGGAGATCACATAGGCTTCACTTTTGTTAGCATATTTCAAGTTAGACTCTGCAGAATTATCTTAGCTGAGTTGAAAATATTTTTGCTGGTGGATGGCTATTTACTTTGTTTTTGGCCAACCTATTGAAACTTGTCTTAATACTGTATTGCTGATCAAAGCTTGCATTTTACCACAAGGTGGTTGTAGTTCCCCTGATTAGTAATACTGGGGGAAGAGAATGAACATGCTGTTCCTTAATACACTGGGTTGCTCTTTTCCATCTTGATGCCTAGTCCACTTATTGGTTCCCTTGCCTTTTGCTGTTATTGCAGGCTGTGTCATTGCCTTCTAATTGTTCAGTGGAAGCGCCATCGTCATCTTCGTCTAATGGGCCCAGCAAGGTATGCTAACTTCCTGTCATGAAAAGACGTTAATATGACAAGGAAAATGCTCAAATCCACAGTGCTTGAAAATGTTTAGCAGGCAAGTGGAGTGGTTGCCTGTATACGAAGATAAAATGCTTATCATTTTGAAATTTAACTGTTATTATAGACTGGATCTGGAACATTTTTTTTTTCTATATTGAAGTTCACTTTTACTATATTGAACTTGCCATTTTTTAACATAGTAACGTCGATGGCGTAAGATACGAAGTTATTGATCATTATTGGGCTTTTCGGAGTTCGTTTCTGTTATCCTTTCTCTGAATATCTCTCTACTGAAACTCGGTTTTTTTTTATACCTCACTCAACTTGTGTATCTATTTCTTTTGTCCAGCGTCCTTTGCAAGGTGGTGTCTTAGACTCGGGCTTGAAGGTAATTTATGAGTTTCTCTTCTTTGGCTTCTTTCTTGTGTAGTAGATATCATCGTGCACAGTGAGTGTGTGATTTTGTGTTTTTCACCAGCTGCATGGAATGCCAAATGGAGTTGAAATGTCCAGCAAAAGGAGTTCTCAGATTTCCAATGACGTTCCTGTCTCAGAAGTGGCAAACGAGTCTTCTGGTTCTGGTATCTTCGGCCTAAAGTCTTCTGGCGGTGCTTTTAATATGGTGAGAAGAAGCTGCAGCGCGAAGCTTTCATTCAATATTTAATATTTATCATGCTTTTTCACATGAAACGTAGATGAGAAAGGATGTATTTTTTGCCCTTTTAAAACACTATATTGGCTAGTAAATTTCTCGCCTCGCGTGCGGGGTGCCAAGCCATATTCATGGTCTTCGAATTTTGTAGGGGTTCTGTTCAGCTTACAAGGTTAATTTAGGATACATGTATGAAGTTCTGGATAAAATTATTGCCTATATAGTGAGACTTCTGGAAGGGAAAAGGATGCGTGGAATCACATCCGTTTTGTTTTTCCCTGATTTGTTGCCCCATTTGACGTGTGGTCTCTGATCGCTAAGATTCGCAAGGTCTGAGTCTGAGTAAAGATGGTACCGGTGTGGCACCAAGGTTTTTTTGCAGCAGGTTGATGAGAGGCTGCTCATATCCGTGATGCAGTTTTGACTCTTTCTTGTTTTAATTTAATTTTGCCATTTGATGAATAACGTAGAAATTGAACTTGGGTAATGCTGTTGGATTTGATGATTCTAGTGGAAAACCCTCGAGTCGAGTCGAGTATTACTGCTTTAAATTAACCTTTTTTTCCCCTGTTTTTGATTTACCACCTTATGCTCTTGCTTTAAGATTCCGAGACGCACGGCCGAACCAATTTTTGTTTTTTTCGCTCTTTGAAGTTTTATATCATGTTTTGGTCTTTCTTTTTCATCTGTCAGCTTGATCGTTTTCGCTTCAATTTGCTCTAAGCGGATGAAAAATGAAACCTATGGGTGAGAAGCATCACCAAACAAAGATGTCCAAATTCTAATGCACTCAACAAAACTCTGACGTTCAAATTATATAAAACCTTTTAATTAATTAGCTCGGTTCAATTTTTCCATCAACTATGTAGCGCTTGAGAGCGATTCTGCTACTCTTGAAAGGACAAGAAAAGCACATGGCGGCTTAGCTTCTTGACATCCAAGAACAAAGAAAATGTAGAGTAACAGGTACCTGTATTTAATAACTGAAAAAAAAAAAAAAAGAGTTGTTTTTTTTTTTTTTTGTGTGTGTTTTTGGGGGGCGGGCCGGGGTGGGGGGTGTGCTGGAGGGAAATAAGAATTGCGTCCATAAATCCACACAAATCCATTCGTAAATTTTTTGAAGAGCCCATTTTCACCCGATCCATCTTTGAACGACCTAAATTCCTCAGGGCCCACAACTTGAGCCCCAACGGACGTCATTTTTTTTTAATGCAGAATTGTAGATGGAGGGAACCAGAAAACATTTCCCGCCATTTTCCAACCCCCGCCCCCCACGCCCCCTCCACCCGGCCAACCTTCAGAAACGGCTGAACGGCAAAAGGAAAAGCACAAAGGGGGAATTTAAAAAAAAAAAAAAATGGAAGGGCTAAGATCTCATAGGAAGCCCGCCGAAGCAGACGACGTCGTCCCTACCCTGCCTCTTTACCTGTCGGCGCCTGCTCTCCAAGTTCGACTGGAAGATTTCGAGCTTTATGCCGTGGATCGCCTCAGAGGTCACTCACTCTTCCTCATTTTTTTTAGTGACCATAGATTCCACAGATCCATTCTTATTTCCCCCTAAAATAAGCAAGAAATGGGACTTATTTTAGACTTTGTTTGTAAGCAGACGGGTTTATGGTGGATTCTTGATTAGGCTTGTTTCTTCATTGAGTATATGTGCGGTGACCGGTTCCTTAAAAGCACAACCTCTCTTCTAAACGTACAAAAAATCGACTTGTATGTGAATTTAAGAATTAAGTCTCTGAACTACATTTGATGAAAGCCTTTTGCAAATTTTAATCAGATTTTTTGGGCAGTCTTATAAGAAATTCTTTTCCCCAGACGTTTTTCTTGGGATGCATCACATGCTAAAATTTGAGTTGTTGATAGATAAGTATTGTCTCGAATCGTGAAAATGCAGTTCTAAAAGAGATTTCGGATGGACTATCGCGTGGAAAGAAGTCTGATGAAATGGAAAACTTGGTAGACGATGTCCTTTCCATTTCTTTTCAGATGCAGTAATGTTTATGCCAGTTCTGAGAACGTTACATTTCCTTTCTTTCTTTGGACTCGTTTATGCCTTTTTGTTAGGTACGTGAGTTGTGGAAGTTGCATATGAGCCATCCGCATGCCTCTGAAGTTGTCAACAAGGACATAATCTCCCATTTTGTCCTTCGTTTGGTCTACTGTAGAACGTAAGATTCTTCACTTTTTTTTTTCTCCACGTGTAATTCTCATATTGTTCGTCTGTTTTCCGTATTGTTAGATAGTCAATTTTATTTTTTGAAATGTTATGTTTTAGGGAAGAGTTGAGAAAATGGTTTCTTTCCATGGAGACTTCATTGTTTCGCTACCGTTTTCGGTCTGAAACTCATGAAGCCCAGGTGTGATTGAGTAATTTGTGACGGCTATCCTCTTTCTTTTCATGGATTGGGGCCTGGGATGGGGGCCAAGGTTTCTTTGCAGTGTGTTTATTGCTGATTATTTCAGGTTTCTGTTCTCTCTGCAGAGGGCACTGATGGCAGAATTTCATCTCCCTTACAAAACTGTGACCAGCGCCGAATATGAGGTATTTTATGTATTATTTTACCTTACACTTCCTGCAGTGAAATGTTCTTCATGATCTTCATTCGCTTAACATTCCTCGAGTTTAGTTGTTTAATTAGTATTTGTACATGCTGGTTCTTTATGTGATAATGCATTTGTCAACCAATAACATCTGATACATGTTTTTTTTTTTCCTATTTTTCCTATGCAGAATGTGAAAGATAAACTGAGCCAAGTTGCGCGTTCAACTGGTCAATCCCTGTCAAGTGGTATTTGCTGTCATACTTGCCAATCCAATTTTTGTGATTGTTGATCCTGTCACTGATGAATTTTCAGATCTTACTTTCAATCCTCTCATTTCTTGATTTTAATACATTTTCCACTTTCTCTTCTGCAGGTGATGGTATATTCTACAAGGTAAATGTTGCATTCCCACCTCCCCTGATAAGAGAATATCCAAATGGGGTTCTAAGTTACTTTTGAGGTTTGCACTGTCACACACGTAATTGTGCTGATCTGGATTTAATTTGACAAGCATTATGAGAATAGATCGATAGCAATTCTTGCAATTCCTTTAAGCCTATAAGACTTCCTTGTATGTGATAATCGCATTTAGTCATGCCTCCGATATTTGATTGGTGAGCATGACGTCTATATGAATGTCAGAAGTTAAATCTTTAGGTGATTGTGAACTATAATCTATCATTTTAGTACGTTCGTCAAAACTAATAATTCTCGAATAAAGGAGAAAATTTTTATTCGTATATGAAGTAAATGCTGTAGTTCGTGTTCCTTTAAAAGTTGCAAAAGAGCCTCCTCTACCTTGTGGAGTTGAATGAGCATCTTGTCTAATAGAAGTTGTGGTCATCTTAATCTTTTCTCCAATGTATCCTTGAATTTGATGAATGAAGGTGCCATTTGAAGAAGTGCCCGAGCTTGTGGCAGGCCGCCGAGTATATATTCAAAAAGGCCAAGCGTATGTTGCAATGAATCAGGTGAATTTAGCGCCTACTGATTCATTCACATCTGTATGTACTTGGGTTCCATCTACCTGATCAATGTATTTACGACTTTTTACAGGTGGTATCTCTTGTTGTTACACAGTTTCGCTTTCTTCTTTCGAAGGCACTTGTGTTGACAAACAGGTAGTTAATTTTCACTGACCCTAAACTTTTGCATTGCCTTTTTATTGGGCAAAAATAAACTTAATCTGTATCAGTTGGTGCTATGCAGTTTTTGTTGCACATGAATTTGCCATTTCCTTTTTAATACTATGACCTCAAGTGTGCTTGCGCAAGGGCAGTATTATTGCCTTCCAAACCTCCAGTTGCACCGTAGACGGTGGTCTGTTTGCACTGTGTCTTCTGTTCCCAGCAGTCAGCACTAATATGCTCTATATCTTAGTAGTTTGCCTATTTGTTTGAAAATTCAGTCTCTTGTTTTGATGTATGGTCCTTAATGTTCCCAAAAGTTCCAAAAAACGTTCCTTGGCTTTTAAAATTTTTCTCCATCAGCTGCATAATTGCATAAATAGGGCATGGATAGATCTAAGACACGATTTAGTCGAGGCTTTAGTTGTTTGATTTGTCTTGTTATATGGCGTCGGGAGATATCTGTCTTGGTGTCTCATGTATTAGATTTCTTAGCCTAGTATCTCTTGCTTCAAATCTCATAAGAGATTGCGATGGTCTTTAGCTTTTATATTTTATATTCAGAAAATGGACAACGATGATCAGAGAACAAGAAAAAGATCGTTTGACGCCTGTGAGTGGTGAATTAATTCTTATGTTTCATTTTTCTGTTTTTCTCAAATTTGTTATTCTTATTTCGCTGGTTATTTTGTAGCTCGTTGAATCCTTATCCTCGAGTTATTTGGGTCCGGATTATAGTCAGGTATTTGACAGATGCAATATGATCGTCTGTAGCCCGTGATTCATTTCCATTTAAGGTAATCCTGATCATATAGCTGAACCTCTTCTGCAGCCAAGAGAATTTACAGAAATTTCTTTAAAAGATATTGACCAAGTGGCTAAGAGTTCTTTTCCCTTGTGCATGCGTCATCTGTTTGAGAAGGTTGGAGGTTTTAATATTTCGCCGTTGTATAATTTTCTTCAGCTATTGTCCATTGAAGTTTAATTTTGAAACAATATTTTTAGGATATGCATTCCCTTCATTTTATTTAATTTACTCCATGATATGCATGGCTTTGATGCAGTTGAGAGAGGATCACCATCTGAAGCATGGAGGCAGAATGCAGTTGGGTTTATTTCTCAAGGTTTGCATGTCCTAGATATTAGATATGTTTTAACACAACTCTGTTTTATGGATATATAATATTATCTATAGAAGTCAAACCTGGTCTTTCGTATGCATAAAATGACACAATTGTTTTATAGTAGTTAAAGTGGTGGCAATAATTTCTGAGAATTGTATCGTAGCATTTTATTGCACATGTATGGATGTTTCTTATGGATTTTTTCTTGTTGAGTGTTTGCTTTTAGGGTGTTGGACTGAAGTTAGACGATGCTCTTGCATTCTGGAAAGCAGAATTCTCAAGAAAAGTAAGATGTAGCTTTATGCCATTTCATCTGTATTTGAGAAGTTAGATTCATTGATCGCCCCAAGTTGAACTCTTATTTTTTTGAATAGTCACTATATTTTGGGTAATTATGTAGACTGCACGGTATATATCATTCAACATGCTTGCATCAACAGAGTTTGCTACCTTCTAACATCGTGTTGACTTGTTATGTTGAACAGAACCGAAAAGCATATTAGGTGTTTGAAAAAAACAAGAAAGTCTTAGCATACGAAATCTTAATAGCTTTTTTTTTTTTTGTACCATAAGACCTAACAGAGGCAAAATTTCAGAAAAATTCTTTTGCTCTTATTAATTTGCTGCAATAGCCTTTTAAGTGCACATTGGGTGTTGCAGTTTGGTGCTGAAAGATTTGACAAAGAATATGCATACAGCATACGCCACAATTACGGAAAAGAAGGGAAGAGAACAGTGAGTTATTTTCAGTTTCTGATGCTTCTCAATTTTCTCTTTAAGTTTAAATATTTGGATTTAATATGACCTTTTTTCTATAGAGATACAATATGCACAACTGAAGATTAATGTATCTTTTGTGTTCAGTAGAAAACATAAACAAAGAGAAGAAAAGGAAACTAAGTTAATTGCTTCTAGATTTCCGTGGAAACTTGGAGAAAAAAGGACAAAGATGAGAGAACTCCTGATTCTTCTGTGTATGACATAAAAATCATCTTGTTCAAATTACTTTCAACAATTTTCTGAGTAGATTTAAATTGAATTCCATGTGAGCTGTAGTCATGTTGGAATAACTCTATCTGTTCAAATTGCCCCATTTTTCTTCCTTATTGTTAATCAAACAACTCATTTCAAAATTTGTGAAATTCTGCATGGGTGCATTGGCCAATTTTTTCACACTAGCGTCCAACTTTCTTCAACTCTCTTTGTGGTAACTGCAGGATTATACTCCCTATTCGTGCCAAAAAATTATCTCTTCGATGCCTGGTGTTGGAGATCATCATGGTTGTCCATATCGTCATTTCAGGTCAGACCTTTGCAATAATGTAACAGGCTTTATTTTCTATATGTTGAATTTTTTACATTGTGCCTGCTTGAATTTTCAAGAAATTCATATTTCTGATGACTTTCTTTATATTTTTGAGTCAAAGCAGTCCAATTATATTGGTACCATGTTCTATACCATTGATTTTAAGTTGAAAATTATCTGATGAAATGCTGACATGTTTATCAGTGTCAGTTTTTTATCATCGTCATCATCAACAGAAATACTTTTTTGTAAAACTTAAGCTTATATTGTACTCATTATCATTTATAATTCTATGTTCTTTTTTGGCTTAAAAGTTTTTTTGGCTGAAATAATTAGTTGGACAATCTTTCTTGAGCAGTGAAGAGAATTTGAGAGCTGCCCTTGGAAGGATGGGAGTAGGCAGTCGTGCACTAGAGGATGTAATGGAAAAAGTGCGAAATAAACATTACCAGGTTAGTATTCAGTGTTGTTTGTTGTCTTGAATTGCCTCTGATAATTTCGCTTCTTTGCTTGGGGTTGGAAATCAAAATGCTGAAAGCAATGTGCAGTTGGCATGTACTTTGACATTTGAGGCTGTTCACGGCACATCTTATGTTGCTGGGATTAATCATCCAAACCAGTACTTCAGTGACAGTAAAAAGACCTTAGAGTCGAGGGTAAGCTCTGTTGTTTGAACTTGTACTTTCAATCTGGCGAGTATGTTTGAATGATTGAATTATAACTATCATCCTGAGAGCCTGCAAGTCCCCAATTTGGTACGCTTGAATAATCCATGAAGATTTTAACTACACAATGATTTTAAATATTTTGTGTGCCATATTAGCACAGAGAAGGCTTCTGTGTTTTGATTAACGTTATTGTGGAATCGCCTAGGCTGTATGGATGGGCAGATTGGTTAAACATCAGATGTCATGTTATTTACGATTTTAAACAAAATGAGGGTATGGCTAATGCTAGTAGTCACACATTGGGAGGTTTTGCTCGTATTGGCTGTTCCCTTTCCCTATAACTGCCCACTTTTTCTGCTTTGATGATATCTTCCTTTAGGTTTGTGAAACAGCTTGAGGAAGTGGTCTAGCTATTAGATTGTAAAATAATTCAACCAAGCCTCAAGTCGTTTTGGGTTATGTGATTTGTGCATGCAAGTTTGTGTTTGGCGGGTTGCTGCAACAGGGAATATCATTTGGCAAATCGCTGAACCTCAACTCACTCCGCTCCCTTACAAAGTAAAAATAAGAAAAGATGGATCAAGCATTAAAAACAAAAGCTGTTAAAATGAATATAAGTAAAAACGCAAAAAAGATAATGCAATAATAACTGCAACTATTTGTTCATCTGATGATATCTTGTTCTTGTTGCGTGCACTGGATTTTTTTTGGTTGTGCTTTTCCATTTCGCTCAATACAAGTCTTCCGTTTAGCTTTTACCTTCTTCATTTGCAGAACAATGCCAATACCGCATAAGAGCTGGAGTATTGCATTGTGAAAATTAGTAAAGCTGTTTTCCAATCATCGGTAAGTTTTTGCAACAAGATTCTCAGATCAAGTGCCCTACTGCATTCTTCTCCCAGTTCTTGTTTTTCGTGGTCTGTCATTGGTGACACATTAATCCAAATCATAAAAGGGTTATATATAAATTTTTAAAATATAGGGAGGTTACGGGGTGAAGCACCAAACACATGGGGGATAAAAAGGTGATTTATCCTTTATTTTAATTGGCTGTCAGAATAGTGGAATTTATTCCAACAGAGCTAAAGGGATGCTTATCTTATAAATTCGCATACGGTTGCTTTATGTTGAAAAGAGTTGGACCTGCAAATTGATGATAACTTTTTTAAAGATATTTACAAATTTCATCCCAGGATTACTGCTTGAGCTTGTGATGAATTTAACTTACAGTTAGCGTTTGGAGGTATTTCTTCCCACGTCATGCAGATCGGCTTTGGTGGATGTAGTTCCCTCACAGTTTTGACTGGTGTCTTCGGCTTTTAGATGTTAAATCGCGTTTGGCCCTTGCAAACTCCAATCCGTGTCCAGTTTTCAGGACTAAAGAGGACGTAAGCTCGTATGGAATTTTGTGGAGACTGGTTGGAGTAGTGTGAAACAAAAAGGAAACCATGATTTTAATGATGTTATTTCCTGAGCATAAGGTAGCCAGAGCCTTTTTCCTTTCGACATGGATTACGTGTGTGAGTTTAGGATCCCAATCATGTCCGTCGATGATTATTTTGTTGTCGTGCCATCATTCCCATGCGTTTCGACGAGGGAGGGCACATTCTATTTGACTGTTATCAGCCCCGGAATATGTGATGACTAATCATCAGCAGTGTTAGGATTCGGGGAGTTGTTTACCTGTTGGTTTATTATCCGCTGATTCATTTTTTGCCCTTTCCAGGTTGGCTTCTTGGACCGAATGAATGATAAATGTGATAGAAAGCTTCTTTAGTAGCATTTTTCCTACATACATCATGTGGTGGATTTCTGCTTCTGTATTCTGCACTGGCCTGGGTACTCCCTCAATTTTGCATGTTGTACGAGTTGTCAATCGTCTGAAGCTTTCTTAGTAGCAAATCTTCTTCTTATTTTATATCACATAATCATCCCTTCAGCAGCACCCAAATGAACGAACACGTCTCCTTAGTCCCGGCGCATTGCAGAGCAGAACAGCACTTTTAGTACGATGAAGATTGGAAGATGTGTCTGTTAGCACCAGAGTTTTTCCAAGAGTCAAGGAATAAAAAATCTTTTGAAACCGATGTGCATAACTGATAAACCGATTACTTCTTTGCCCTCCGCTTTTGGGATTTGTAGGAAGGGAGGTGCGTTAGAGCGTATGCTATACTATTATTATCTACGGAAAGGGCAAGTGCTTCGTAGCAGGTTCCTCTTTCCCCCCACAACGGCTCTCACCTAATTATTAACCAACCAAAGCGTAAAAGAACATATCCATCCATCCACTTTTCACTCGCCGCTGCTTCCTGAATCCTAGGTTGATGTTACAGGTGGGATGAGCGAACCTTTTCTTGTCGTCGAAACTCTTGCTGGTAAAAAAGTACCATTGCGTCAATTGGACCGACCAACTTGTGAGCGGGGGGCGGGGTTTGGTTGGTTGTTTCAGGTGGACATCTTTTCCCCTGCTCTCTCTCTACTGTACTTACTAATGCATTCTGTTCATGAAATTGAGCAGTTTTCCAGACCCACCAGGATGACGCCCCGCGCATGCTCCCATAGATTTGCCAAAGGGTGGGTTGAGCCAGCACGAGTGAGAGCTTGGTAGCAAGAGATTTGCCATTCATCCATCAAATATTTACTTAATGATTAATACTGCGGAGGAGTGGGCTATTTTGAAGTCAAGGACTCGAGGACGCGGGCTGCAATTTTTTATATATTGATAGCATGTATATGTATTTTTATCATTGATTACATGACACACATATACATATGTATAATATTTATATTTGTTACGAATAACAATTAATTAAATGTAGAAGCCCGGATCTTATCCAGGAAGGACGGAAGGTGGATGGAGTGTTTGTAGAGCATTAAGTCAAATGATTGGAAAAAGATTTTAAAAGATGCAAAGATGTCAGTCGTTTTTTTTTTTTTTTTTTTTTTTGTGATTTGAAAGATGTCAGTCATAGAAATGCATAATCTGGCTAGTGGACAAACAGGGGATCATTAGAAGCAACCAAATTAAGGGCTCCACGGCCATGACCCAATTTCATCCATCCATCCATCCATCAATCAATTATCAATGCCATGCATAAAATGCTGTCCCTTCGCTCGGTTGAGGTGATATACAATTATAGATTGCTGACATGTGTAATATAAGCATCCCCACATCATTAATTAATTAATTAATTAATAAATGTATAGTGTGCCAAGAACATATATATATATATATATATATATATATATAAATAAATTACATAAAGTCGAAGGCTCCGTCTCCGTCGCATAATTGACACACTAAAAGATTGGGACACGTGGAACGATAAAAAGGCGTTTTATAATACCATTACCTAACTCCAAAACTCTTTTTCAACGGCGGACACCGCGAACGTACTACATACGTGCATCCAACCCTCATAAAAATTAAAATTAAATAACAAAAAAAACAATCATTATCTAAATTCTCAGATGATGTGCCCTTAACTTTTTGAAAATAATCCAAAATTATTTTTTCGCAATCAAAATACTTAGATCATGTTCGGATTGCATTTTTTTTGAATTTTTTGAAAAAAAAAAAATATATATATATATATATACTGTAGCGATTTAATATATATGATGTAAAAAAATAATTAAAAAATATATTCACAAAAAACGTAATAATTTTTATTTAAAAAATACCTTTCCAAACAAGACCAATTTCTCCCCTCAGTGCTTCTTCTTTTTCTTTTTCTTTTAGTATGGATGAAAATTTTGAATTTAAAAGAAACTTTTCAATTACACACTGTCGCCTTCCTTCCTTCCTTCCGAACGACATGAGCGTACAGATTTACTAAGCACAGGTCGCAATTTTTGGGGCAAACTGTATGTAATCAGGTAGCATATATTTTTGTGACAGTCTTTTTCCATGCATTCTATGACATTCTCGTGTCGTTTTGCGTCTTTTTAAATGGTCTATTCTGTCATTTGTCAATTTTTGTGATACAATTACATATAGATTCTTGGTTAAAAAAAAAATTTATTAGTTAGGGTCAACAAAATTGCTGATTCGATGTCCAGATCCAACCCCAGGCCCCAGCCCCTCTGGTTTGAGTATTTGAAATCGGAGGACAAGAGGCAGTAGGGATTGCTCCGAAGAGCAAACATCAGGAGGAAAGAGGCTTGTCCATGGTTGATTGTCAAACTTGTGCGATTTGAGGGATTATTCAAGGAATGCTTTGACATAAAAACAAAAAATGAGACAGTTCTCTCCGTGTATAAGTTTTCTTGTTTAAATGAAAAAAAAAAAAAAAAAAAAGAAGTTGTGTTCCCTTGGTTTCTCTCACTTAATGTCAATTACAAAGAAGGCATAAACAAGTTCGGGTCACATCTATTGGGTCCAAACCCTAGGCAAAGAGGGCCATTTTGAACACAAAATCTAGACGTCGAGGTTGATGAGGGTTTTCCTGTAATAGCATAAATTATGGTTTCCAAGAATTGCAATTTCCAACAAGCATCAAAACCCATATTGCAGGTGAAATGAAATGGAACTTTGTCCTGTTGAAATAAAGCATCATTCTCTTAACTTGGATTTTGACCGAATTTTTTAATCTTCTTTAGTTGTAAAGAAGGAAGACTAGACCGCCACTTCTCCTCTTGTTAAAGGTTTTAGCTTTTAATCATTGACATATTTATAATGACTTTCAACATCAATGCCTACTGTAAGTAGTAACCGAGCAAGTGATGGAGCTTTGTTTGGATTCAAGGGTTTTTCAAAAATTAATTTTTTAAATATTATTAAAATTTTAAAAAAGTGCTCTAAAAAGTATTTTAAATTTTTTAATGTTTAAAAAAATCCCAAAATATATTCTAAAAATTTTACTACTCTTAAATATCCCAAAACATTTTTTAAAAATATTCCAAAATATAGTATAAAAATTCTATTGCAGTAAAATTTTTTAAAAATATATATTTCAAAAAACAGCTAATTCAAACGGAAACGCCTGTCAGAGTAGCAATAAGGGTTTTACTATTTAGAGACTCACATGGCTTCTCTCCTTATCTCTCCCCTTTTTTTTTTCCCTTCCCTCGAGCAGGAAAGAATTAGGAGTTAAGAAGCGGACAGAGAAAGAGAGTGAAAAACATGCGAGTTCAGCTCCTGCTTATGCTTTTATTTTTTCCCCCCTCTAATGGACAGGGTGACCAGAGGAATTACAGAGTTGGAGTGAAACCCAAAATATTTGTGTACCTTTGTGTTTACGGAAAATGACTTTAAATATATTATTGCTCTTCTTGCTATACTCTTTCTGCAACTTGCTGTATTTGCCATTTTTGTCGCTCCATATTTGATGTACGCTGTTTCCTTGAGCTCCTCGGAGGACCCATAGCATAGCATGCATCCTCAAGACGGGGTGCGCTGGCCAATCATTCTAGTAGTATAAGAATCTGGCTTACTATTGAGTGTGTTTGGATTGTAAGTTATTTGAAATATTTTTACTGTAGTACTTTTTGTGATGTGATGTATGTGAGATAAAAAGGTAATTGGAAAGATAAAAAGGTGTATTGGAAATTGTAATGGTGATGTCAGCAAATATATTTGGCCAAATAATTGGCTGTCCAAACACACTCATTATGTGTAACAGATTCCCATTTCAAATATAGAGGACAATAATAATAATAATAATATCTTTTCAAAAAATATATATATGTGTGTGTGTGTGTGTGTAGGGACAATAAAACCAATTTTGTTTGCAGGAGGGAATAATAGGTCATCTTAAAAAAAAAAAAAGAAAATTTATAACACCAGAGAAAAAGAAAAGGAAATAAAGAAGAAAGTATTAATTTAAAAGAAAAAAGGGGAAAAGGAGAGGAGTAGTGGTAGTGTAACTAGAAGAGGCAAGGGGACATGATTCTATTATGGGACACACCGACTGGGACTGGGAAACCACACCAAACTTTCCAGTTCCAGTTTTTCCACTCCACGCCCACCAGCACCTACCTCCCCCTCCCCGGCCCCCCCTCTTTTCAATCTCATCCTCCCATGTACTTTATCTTTTGCCCCATCTCTCTCTCTCTCTCGAGTCCATAATAAAGTTGAAAGCTACAAACACACCCTGTCGCTTTCCTTGCCACTCATTTTATGGCTCTTGTTCTTCTTTAACTTAATCAAATAGTTCAGTTTAGTTGTTTTTTATTAAACACTTGTGGCAAGGCTTTTAGCTTAAAAAGGAATGAGGCTTAAGAAAGAAAGTGAACAAACAGTTCCAAGTTTGAAGATTTTGAACTCAGCAATCTTCCACCCCACCCTGCTCCGACCCCACAGACCGGTTTAGTTAGTATGTGAAAATTGAATTAGAGTGCTACTTGGTAGGCATGTTTTCGTTGCACTGCAACAGTAGTAGTTGTTGTATGTGTCTTTGAGGCGTTATCCAATAGGTGCTGTGCTGATGTAAGTGTGTAAATTATAAAAGCTCCTCCCAATAATTCCAACATGAAACACACCACTATTGCCTCTTTTGCTCTCACTCGCGGTACCATCATGTCTCTATTCTATCTTGTTCTTGCTCTTGCTCTTGGTCTTGTTCAGCTCCTCAGCCCTCCCAGCCTTAATTAACTCTCCTGCCTCCTCACTTTCGCAGCTCTCTCTCTCTCTCTCTCTCTCTCTCGTACAAAAAACACCACAACGAGGGGAGGGACACACGGCTTATGCCTGTCTTTTGCTAGTTGCCACTTTACTGATCTAGACTGTTATAATGGTCTCATTGTCAGAGAATGAATGGCTGAGAAGACCAAGTCAGACTTCTTCTCTTGCACTTGTCTGTAAGTCTCCCAAGTTCTTGCTCCTCCTACTTCTTCTTAGATACTTTTATTACTCTATTATTACTGCTATTATGCTGTGATCTTTTCAAGTAGTAATTCTTTGGATGTGCTACTAGTACCATATAGAAAGGGCATCGTGTACTATTTTGCTTGATCTTTTCTTGCTCAAAGGCCCAAAGTTTTAATCTTTATGCTTTCTTTGATGATGAATCTCCAAAATTTCTAACTGCTTCTGCTCAACAGGCCAAAGCCAACTTCCCTGTTGATTTTAAGGTATTATAGTAGTTCTGTACTCACCACTTTCTCTACCTGCCTTTCTGGCTGTCTCTGCTGTTTCTTCTAATTGAGATGGGAACTGGGAATCCGCGGGGGCTGTTCAGTGTGTCTGTCTATCTATCCACCCATCGTCGAGGGCTCTGTTCCTTTTCACACCCTTTTCTTTTCTTTCTTTTCTTTTCTTTTCTTGCCTTCGCTAGTAGTTATGATATATTAAGTGGTTTTGGTGATGAAACCTTTTCTAGCATGATATTAGAATGAAATTTTTTTGTGTAATGGGTAGTGATTGGATTTTTACTATTGTTGCAATAATATTATAAAAGACAAAGGACAGCTGTGATATTTCCTTTTTTCCTCTTTTTACTGCTACTACGATTACGTACATCTTTTCCTCCCTATTTTCTTTAGAGGGCTTCTCTCTCTCTCTCTCTCTGGGCCTGGAACTGTGACTAGTAAGATTCATAGCTGTGGTTCCTCACTTCATAATTGGAAGAAGTGGGGTTGCATTATTTACAGCTTGCACATGGTTTTTGAGATTTTTCCACTTTTTGGCAGAGAACTTGACATGAATTGGGAGACATTTCTTATTGAACAACCATCTGTAACCCTCTTCTCTCAATCCGTGGAAGTCATCTTGAATGACCATGGTCCTACAATTCTGTCCTTTTTACATGACCATAACCTTACTTTTTGCATTTTAGAATCTCCCCCTGCACCATGACTAGTGTAGATATATGTTTTAAGCAGTACTAATATCTTTTTCCTTCCCCCCCCCCCTCCCTCCTCCTCCTCCTCCTCCTCCTCCTCCTGCCTAATTTGTTTTTGGTGGTTGAGGAGTTGTTGAGGGTTTGGGATGCTGAGGCATGTCCAATTTCTTCTTTAGGCCCCAGCCTTTTGGTGGCTGTTGGACATGTAAATTTTGAAAAGGTTGGTTATGCTAAATACATCTCGAATATTCCAACTGCTGCTCATACCATTTCCTAACATTTCCAGCAAGAAAACCAATGACCTGAGCTGTATGGTCTGCACAAAACGCAAGAACTTGAAGCAGTTATACTTTAATGTTCCTGAGTTTTATTTATCTTAGAAGGATGGTTTTGGTTTCAAGGAACTAGCTCCGCAGTTTCCTTTGTTGAAGATGTTGCCCTAGAGTCTATCGAAGACCTTGACTTACACGAGGGGATTATTTGGGTTCATTTTTTAGGACTTTTAGGACCAAAACTATACTAGCCTGTTCATTGTTACACTAATTCTGAACTTTCCCCTTTTATTTTGATTATTTACACGAATATGAACCCAAAAAGAGTCTATCTTTAAGGAGTTAATGATTTTGTCTTTTTGTTTTTCTCTCCCCTCTTATCTCAACGGTTATGGAATGTTGTACCAGGTGGATAAGTTTGCCAAGAACTTGATTGTGAGGCTAATGGAGGATCCATATGAAAAGAACTTGACTGAGAGGGAAAGTTAGTCTGGGATCTCTCTTTGCGGAGAATTTCTTGGAAGTTAGCTGGATTGGAGGGAGACGCTTCTTATTCTGCCTTTTTTGTAACGTGTAAATCTTCTTGTTGACTGGAGTCAAGTAGCTTACAAGTGAAGAGAGACTCAAGGGAGCTAATCTTTCTAGTTAAAGAAGCTGTCGATTATTTCGAACTTGGGGGGGTTGAAAAGTCATTGAGCACCACAAATCTTGTTGATGGAATCATCGTCATTGACGGGATCATCGAAGAGGGCCAAAGCACCTGGGAATGTGACCCAAATGGCTCACTGCTTGGTTGATGGATGTAATGCTGACCTTAGCCAATGTCGAGATTATCATCGCCGCCATAAAGTCTGTGAGCATCACTCTAAGGCCTCAAAAGTCACAATTGGGGGTCGTGAGCTACGGTTTTGTCAACAATGCAGCAGGTAAACCACTTTATATCAAGAATGGTCTGCAGTTTTGCTATTGATAAATTTTAAAGAGGATTGTGATCAATTAGATCTCATTGCCTTCTTATGCTTTTTCTTTGTCTCTCTCACTTCATTTTCCCCAATTTTTGGTAGCCGTTCCTTCACACTCTTGTGCTTTTTGTTGCCTTCAGACTCCTAACTCTTTATCTTATGGATTCCAGCATGAAGAAGGCTGACCTCTTGTTGATTGAAGCTGTGTCTAGCAATTTTAGTTATAGCAGGATGTTTGTTGGGTAGAATATCTGTAAGCTGGTATTGCTAGTTCATGGTTTACTATCATAGAAGAAGACCACTTTAGTGGGTTTTGCGCCATTCAAGTTCGGTGATTCTAGTTTCATGCTATAGTATTTCTTGTCCTGGAGTTGTCTTACTTTTTATATTTATTGTTTTTTAAAGTTGTTAGGTACAGGTCAATAACCTTTCCAATAGGCCCAAAAGAAGAAAAGAATAAAAAGTGTGGCATAAACGTATCAATTATTGAACCTCCTTTAATCAAAGTCTCATGTATTTTCTAGGTGCCACGTGAAACTCATCAACTCCCTCCCTAATCTCTTAGTAATGAAAATGCTGATCCGTTACTGCAAGGTTTTACATAATTTTATAAGTATGCATTCAGAAATGTTTTTTGTAGTGGTTTGATGCTCAATGTTGATTGATGCCTTTCACGTGATGAGGTATCCCTAATTGAAACCATGTGATTTTCATGATAGTTTAGCTGAGTCTGACCACAAAATGTAAATATTCCAATGAAAATTTGGCAAATCATTGACTCGAGACATAGAACAGTTTCTAACTAAATTCAACTGAAAGTCATCCTATCACGAATTCAGTGTATATTTGGAGCATGTTGTGGAGCTAACGTCTCTTCTTCTAATGAATTTTTTACCTGAAAGTATTTTTCAAGTGAAAAGATATAGATGCCAGAACAATAATCACGTATGCAACGTGTTATGACTCTTAAAGTTTGTGAGCAATGAGTGCAATGGTAGTTAGTTCCATGTTGTTATGATGCAATCTAGGTTGAGCTGCTCCCAGTAGGTGACTTACTTTCATGACTTGGCTGTGCATGGTATCCTCCATCCGTGCATGCTTTACGGGAAATTCTTTGAATTTGACACATTAAGGGGAAAGAAAGCTGTATTCACGTTGGATTGCACATGTTCTGATATTTATTCATTGCAGAATTTCAATTGTTATTGAAGATTTTCTCTCTTGTAGATTCCAGTCTGCTCGTTTCTTACTCATTGTATGCATGTGCAGGTTTCATTCTTTAGGGGAGTTTGATGAAGGAAAAAGGAGCTGCAGAAAACGTCTTGATGGCCATAATAGGAGGCGAAGGAAGCCTCAGGCAGAACTTTCCAGAAACTCTGGAATGCTTTTTCCAAGTCAACAAGGTCTGGATGAGTAAAGATCGAGCATTCTTGTTTGTTGACTCTGTTAATGCACTAGGATATTATGTGAATCGCATATTAGATACTTCATCATGATTCATTCAAGTGAATTGAATACTAGGAACAACATTGAAATTTAAATGGCTACCTTTGCAGGTAGTAGTAGGCTTCTGTCATTTGGTACACCTCAAATATTTCCAAGTGCTGTGGTGAGTTCCAGCTGGAGTGGTGTTGTCAAACCTGAGAACGATGTGGTGCTGTACTGCCAATCAAACACAAATTACATAGACAGGCAAAACGCGTTCCCAGAGTCGGTTCATGACTACAAAGGAGTGAACCAGTTTCAATTCATTCAAAGCACGCCCCGCACTCTTCCTGAAACTTCCATCTGCCAACCGCTTCTTGATCCTGATTCTGCATCAGGACATAATAATAGCAGCCAAAAGATCTTTTCCGATGGTTTGAATCAAGTTATCAATTCTGATCGTGCTCTCTCTCTTCTGTCATCTGCACCCGCCGTAACTAGGGAGATTGGTTTTAGCCACATGGTGCAGCCTGACTCCATTTCCCAGGCACAGTCCTTAGTACACAATTTGCAGTACGGCAGTCCAGGCCAGTTTCCATATGCTCAGGAAATAGAAAACAAGCCAGTAATTTCTGAATCAGATTCCCGAGTGAGCAACAATGCCACCCTTCATTTCCAGGAAATGTTTCAGAATGGACCTGAAGAGTCATCTACAAGTGGTGGATCTCAGCAGACTCTAACATTCCTGTGGGAGTAGCTCTCGTTAATTGCTGTTGCTTGCACTGTGCTGACTGCGTCAATAAACTGTTGCTGTACTAGACACTAATTCTTTTTCACCTCCCTCTTAAGAATGTTTGCTGTTGCTAGATTTATCTGTGTGACCTATTCTTGATACCTGTTGAGGAAATGAAAATTTCACCAATCACCTACATTCTTATTTCTCCGCTTCCAGGTAATTCAGCCCCTCTGCAACGAGAAAAACTTCAATGCAGTTGTTCCCATCTTAAGTAGTATAATTATCTAATGGTCGTTGGAGAAAAGGGAATTGCGTATCCCAGGATCCTGTGCTGAAGATTTACAATCTCCAAAAGTGGAACTCCAAATTATAATCCTAGTCTGTTGTGATGCATAAGCTGATGTAATATGCAGCCGTTGAACTGAAAATTCTCTCCTCAGGCTCTTAGAGTTTAAGAACAAAGTCATACAACAGTAATTCTGCCACTTCTGCTAGTGGATCATTGTAATGAAATAATGACATAGGTTAATTAAAATCAACTGTGAAAGGAGGTCAGGCTGAGAATTTCATTGGCAAATGCGATGTGTTTCATACGCAATCATCTGGTGGGACTTTCTTCATTCCCTGATATATGGGCTAATTCTATGTCAAGTTTCTTGATTACTTTTATCTTTGATGAACATTTATTCACAGCTACAAGCTTCTTATGCAGGCCATTTACACGGCAGGTCTTGGAGTGGCAACTCGCTTGATCCCCTCTCTTAGTGCATGAATTATCGACTTCAGTACGTTATCACAATATTGGGTTGTTTGCATGAGATAAATATCATCATCATCGAGCAGTGCTGATTGGTGATTGCTGCGTTCCAGGACCACAGGAAATCAGGGATGTATATCTTAGTTAAACGCGCTGAACTAGTAGTTGTACTTTCTAACTAGTTCGTCAACGGCAGCTCCTACCAAGCCGGGCCTAGAGCGCACCATCCAAATAAGAATAAGTAAACAAACGCAAGATCCTGTACCAAATCACGGGATAGACAGAGAGAATAAAAAGCGAAGCAGGAAGCCATGCATAAAGAAAGTCCACAGTCGGCTCAATCTTTCCTTGGATATGTTTTAATCCACCAACGCAATTCTGCATTAAGCATATCTCGGAAAATGGGTCCGAATCTGGAATTAAATATAAAGAGGAATATATCCAACTTCAACTAATTGAGTATTATATGACTGCAAAGCAGTAATTAGCTAGGGGACCACTGATCGATCATCAAGAAGATTCATTTTTATCTTAATCAACCTCAGTCCAATAAATAGTGGAGCTGCCCCCAGTAAATTGTATATAAGTTTCTAATTTTGTGCTGTAACTCAAAATGGAGATCGCCAACCGGATGCAAGGTGGAGGAGGCAGCCTTCTGAAGAGCAAGCTGGTTATGTCTTTCTGCAGAGCTGCTAAACCGGCACCATCTATGATGCAATATGCTACAAAGGTTGAGCCAGAGCCGCGCGCATCTTCGACCGCGGTGCAAACACAGTCTTTCTCACAGCCAGGCGGAGGCTTTCCTAGTTCGGACGGCTACGTTCACGGCCCTACAGGCATTGGTGGAGATGAACAAGTTGACACAAAGGCCACAAGCTACATTAATCACGTAAAAGAGCGTCGCAGACTCGAAGAATTGAGCATCCTGAACGAAGGCCTTTATAACTGATTGGTGAACTGATCAGGAAAACACATGTAGCCTTGCTGAATTTTTATGGTGCAGTATGGTGTGTTGGGTGAAACTCAGCCACGCGAGTGACTAGTAGACTAGGAAGCAGCGGTCCAATTTTGTTATGTTACAACAACCTTTGAAATGGAAGTCGTTTCACTTTCTGATGTGTTGTGATGTAGTTTGGATGCTTCTACTGTTGATCGAGCTTCAAGAGTAAGCGTGCAGAAGACATCATCACTCATTATATATATATTCCTCTGTTATGGAAGATTGTACATAGCCCCGCGGGGGGGGGGGTTTATACAGTTTTCTTGTTCTGAAGCCGCCGTGCTAATATTCCACAAAGCGATTATCTAAATTCAGTCTTGTTTTAGTTGGTGGAGCATCATTTCTCCCCGCACAGCAAAAAAGCCTCTGCATTTGCATGCACCAGGCATACTTACTATACTACTGCTACCAAAGCTTATACATTGCTGATGGTTCTTAGAAGAAGGAATATTTAGTCCGCACGTTTCCATTAAAAAGGACACACTTTCGAGGCTTGTGGCGGACGAGGAATCGAATCCATGGGCTTCCCGAAGCAACCTTTTTGCTTCGCTGGTTATCTTTCAATCAACGTAGCTGGACATTGTAGATGGGCTTTTACTGCATAATCAGCTGGTCGCACAAATGTTTCAAAGCCTATTATCTATGTTAACCCGTTGGTTTGTACAAATCATATGCACGTATAAAGCCCAGGGCCGGCAATGACTTGTAGGCCTGGTATTTGATGCTCATGACCCATACCATTTTGCGTACACCGTACATTTACCAAGACCTTAGCCCAAAAAGGAAGAAAAAGAAAGATCCTCTCTCTCTCTCTCTCTCTTAAAAATTTACCCTTATAAATCATTCGTAGGACATTTTAGCCTTTCACGCAATATATTCCAGCGCTTACCCCCGAGAAATGAGTTCTTATTTTGGTAATAATGGGTGGCTATTAAAGTATGGTTTGGTTCCAACAAAAAAAAAAAGGCTGTTAGCTGTAACATGTCACTTGGCTCTGAGGTTGCTTTCCAAAACATGAGCAAATTTAATGACACCACATGCCTGATGCAGACATGCCATTAACATTCCTCATCCTCCTCATGGTTGAGATTGTCATTTCTCGGTTTTCTTTCAAGGATCAATAGCGGTTTTAACCTTAAACAGCTCCTAATTTGAGAATTTTTTTTTTTGGGGGGGTTCTGCCCATTCAGCTTGAGAATCATCAGCAGTTACAGTACAGTGGTCGTTTGGGCAGTACTAATTTGGATCTCTGAACTGTCAATCAAAGGTGCAAACAGATCAAGCTCAACAAAGCTTTTCCTATTGTCTTCTCTATTTTGTGCAGTTTTCAGCCAGTTTTGGCCAAATTAATAACGCCCTACGAAGTGCTTCCCCGCATTTGCAATTTTTTGATGATTTACAAATTTAACCAAACTACTACGCTACGCTTTTTGTGTGATCAACAAGCAAGAATTTCTTTCCTTTTTTTTTTTTTTTTGGGGTTTGGTTTTTTAACTTTTAAGAGAGAGAGAGATTTTCACAAGAAAGACAAACTTCAAAAGAAATTGCACTTCACATGGTTCACTCAATTGCAATACTTTCCATATATGAGTGGTCAGCTGAGACGTCGGAGAAAAAGGTTTTCCAGGAAACACTCACATACACCATTTATGCAAACGCTTTGCCACCAGTGGCAGTCAAAAATTGTGTGAAGTGGGCATTTCTGGCCAAAAAAAAGTTACTTTTCTTCCTTTTACTTTTAGTCCCTTCCCCTGCTGCGGCGGTGGTGGTGGTGGTGCCACTACCACCAGAGATCAGGCCCACTTCACACGGATGCCGGAAATTAGCGCTGTTATCTAAAAAAATACACAACAAACTGGGGGTTCTCAAGAAAATGCAAAACAACGCTGTGGTTATAATAAAAGAGTTTTGAGCAAAAGAATTTTTGCTTGGCCAAGCGGCCCCAAGATTCAATCAATTGGGGAGGTGAAGCTGAGATGATGGTGCAGCTGAGTGGGGGACCAATGAATTGGAGTGAAGGGAGAAGAAGCGTTTATGCAAATTCATGAACGGTACTGTGGACCCCTCACCCCCCCCCCCCAACCCCCCGGCGGAGAGGAGAGGACAGTACAAATCGGGTCAGATTTAGAACCTTAAAAGGGCGGGCAGCATCAACATCAGAGACCGGGACACGCGGATGGCCTTTCTATTTTGGGAAATTCCACTTTAAAAGCAGTAATGTAATTCACAGTTCTCCCATCCCCCTCCCCGCCCCTACCCTACTGCTCTGGCCCTATTGGCTACAAGGCCAAAGCGGCTTGCTTGATAGATCAAGATCATCCAACCTAAACAACCCCATCCGTCTTGCGTGGGTGCGCGTGTCTCGTCCATCCGATCTATGAGCAAGAGCGTCGTATTTATTGCGCGCACAGTTGTCTTCGCAAAACGTCGCAATCTCTTCTGTCCGATTCGCTGGTTGATGGGAGGGGGTTGGAATAAGGATGACCATTGGCCAAAGGGTCTAACTTTCTGCTTTTTCCTCGCAATATGCATCTGATTGGATTTATGGGTGCGAAGTTGCTCGCGAGGCATGTTGGTGCTGATGATGATCCAAACCATTTCCGCTGCATCGCCACATTGATTATACTCAATCATATGCCTAGACGTTAATACGCTTTCTCACGACGATCTAGTGAAAGATGAGGATAATCTTATAGGATTATAAGTAATTACAACACTCATCTTTTTTAGTCTTGCTTGCCATGTAATGTTCTTCCCAACTTGTTTTTCCTTTTGGGCGGAGGATAACAGGTGGATACTACTTTCGTTGCACGGGTTAGTGGCCAACCAAAAGAAGTCGTACCCATCTTGACGTCCGCGAAGTTCCGTACACGGCCCCTCCGCCCCGCCCTCACTCACTCTGCTTGTTCCGCTTTTCCGTCGTATTATATATAGCAGAAAACAAATTCCCGATTCATCATAAAGAAAAAAGGTTACCGCAGGCTCTCGATTTTAACTTGTAAAACAAAAAGAAATGCATTATCGAGGTCAGCAACCTATAGCTGCAACAATGGACCACGAAACAGCTCTGAATCTTATATGCGTGTGTGCCTCCCTCTTTATCTTCTGAGGGTAGGCTGAACCCGTTGCACGTGGGCTCCATCTCTGTCCCCACACATATACTCGATGCAGTGTATTTGGTGTCCCCACCGCTGTAAGAGGTTGAACGTCACATGTCATTTTTGGAGCTACTAGATGTATTGACTACAGCTACGAAGCGCAAACTGCAATAGAAAGGGCATGGGGCTATATATTATTATATACTAATATAGTATAATATATGGGATGATTAAATGTCACGTGGTAGTATTCGTGTATTTAGAGTCATTCTAGGATTAAAAAAAAAAAAAAAAGAAGGTTTTGAAAGTTAAATGAGTTTTCATTATATCAAAGACCTAATTAATT